CGTTTCACTAATTTGAGCGATACTCTGTTGGATAAGGAAGATATAAGCGTGTTGGAATTAGGACACAAATTTCCCTTCCCTCCCTCACTAAACCTCATGAGTTAGCCATAAAAGTTGAATCCCAGTTGCTTAGAAATCTTAACCTCAAACAAATTTTTATTGAAAATAAATCCACAATTCAGAATGTAAACAAATATTCTAATGTGAACCACTCAGTTCCACACTTTAAATATAAAAACATCCTCACAAATATTAAAAAATAAAATTAGGGATAACAACTTGATAATTACTCTCGGTGACAAAGGAGCGGGAACTGTCATTATAGATAAAGACAGCTATATATCAAAAACTGAAATCTTTTCCTCGAAAACAATATAAAAGAAATTAAGAATAACCCAACCAATAAATTCAATAACACTTTCAAAAAATTTATTAAAGATAACTCAACCTTATTAACTAACTTCAATTTAAATTCTTTTAACTCCATTCAAATGAATCCCCTTATCCCTACATTGAAAAGCCTTATAAAGCTGCATAAGCAAGATAAAACCATAAGACCTATTATCAGTAATGTGAATACTCCAGCTAGCAAAATTTCCAAGCTAATACAAAATTTTCTATATACATATTTTCAACACACCTTCAAATATACTGTTAGTAACTCTTCCAGTCTCATCCATAAACTAAAGAACTTCCAACTAAATAAAAATAGCACACTTCTTTCGTTTGACATAAAAAACCTCTACGCTAATATTCCAATACACCAAACCCTTCTTATAATAAGAAAACATCTCATTGATACTCAAAATCTCACTGGTTTGAATATTTTGGAAATTGATTGCTTCTTGGAATTGCTTGGTTTAGTATGTAAACAAAATTTCTTCTCCTTCAATGATAAATAATATTACACCATGAGTGATGGACTTCCAATGGGTTCTCCCATTTCAGGAATACTTTCTGACATTTATGTCAACTCTTTTGAATCTGAATTGTTTTCTGATAAATATAAACTTTTTACTAATGACATTACCTTTTATTCAAGATATGTGGATTACATATTTATTGTTTTTAATGGGAATCTAGCGAAATTACATGCACTTTTTAATATCTTCAATAACATAAATAATTTAACTTTTACCATAGAAAAAGAAGAAAATCTTACTTTAAATTTTTTAGACCTACAAATTACTAAAGATAGCTTTAATCAACTTTTGAATTTTAACATCTATAGAAAACCTACAAGTAGCGACAATATCATTCCAAAACACTCATTTACATGCAATCAGCATAAATATGCAAGCTTTAGGTATTTCTTCAACAGACTTTATAACATTCCCCTCAATTCAGAAAATGTTATCTCAGAAATCAAGAAAATTGTAAAAATAGGTCTCAATAACCATTTTTCTTTAACTGAAATACAAAACATCTATTTTAAAGTCCATAACTCATACATTAACAATATAATTTACCCACATGCCAAGCTTAAACAACTTTACATCAGCCTACCTTATCAACCTTCCTTGNAATAGTAGAAATTATTGACTGATAATTTTGAAATTTGGTACAGTAGGCGGTAAGTAACAAGTATCGTACCATATCGTACTTCTATTATTATTTTTCCTACCTTAAGGTATGATTTTGTTGCAGCGTCCACCGTCTGCGCCCTGGGTGGTATGCTCAGAAATGCTTCCTCAGCATATGCATATCTTTTGAGGAAGCATGTATGAGCATCTTGTCCAGGATGCAGACGCTACACCTCAACGAAATTATATCTTTACATACATATGTACATCCCTGAAACGTCAACGAAACCTTTCAGAAATTATTTTTAAATGTTTATGATACATACTATTAATGTAATGTAAATGTAAACAAAACATTACAGAAATAATTCAAAACCATTAATGAAACATTTTAGTAGTGTACCGTAATTGTCAGCTGTATGTTGCAGAAACGTTTCAATAGAAACGTTTCAATAAAACATAAAAAGGGTCGGACATTAGCAGTTTCAGACACGTTTCATCTATGTTTCAGAAATATGTCTAAGAAACGTTTCATGTTTCAATAATATGTATCAGAAATGTTTCTGAAACGCAAATTTGTTTACTGGGTAAATTGCTTGTAAAAAAATACAAAAAGAGGAAAACAGAAGCCGAAAAAAAAATCGAAAATGATAAGAAACTGGAAATTCAAGCCAGATTTCGAAAAGAAACTGGTTTGATGGTAGATATGCCAAAGGCAAATTTCGGCAATACAAGCAGAAGATTTTTTAAAGATCCTCAGTTAGCTTCTGATATAACGGGTATTAATCATGAACTAATATACAGATTAAAAGTCATAACTAGAAACGATTTCGAGTGGACATATAATCGATCCTGTAAAATACGATAAATATGCACTAGATACTGCTCGCTTATATGTATGTCGATCTATATCCTTGGCATCCTATGACACCAACAACGCACAAAATCCTTATGCAAGGTGCAGTTATAATAAAAAATGCATTGTTACCCATTGGGCAGCTCTCCGAAGAGTCCGCGGAAGCTCGTAATAAGCATTTCAGGTCATACCGCCAAGACTTCGCTCGAAATATTCTAGAGACAACAGCAACAGAAACATTTTTAACCCGGCTTCTTTTGACTTCGGACCCTCTGTTAAGTAGCATGAGAAGGGTAAAAAGTAGAAAACTTAATTCTTTCTTGCCAGAAACAATTGCTCTACTTATGCCTGCGAATCCGAATGAACTTGGTCATTCTTCAGAAAGCGAAGATGCACATTTGTCTGAAAAATTATAGATTTTTTAATGTTTTCTTTTTGTTTTGAATAAATACGTCTCGATTTAATATTAAAACCTTTGTTTCATTTACTAATATCATTTAGAATCAATATCGAACATAAAATAATTTTGGCCGCGTAGATCGTTCACATACCCGTATGTGCGCCGTTAACATTTGTAACACCATAAAAATAATCGGCATAACGTTAACTACTCGTCGTACTACATATGAGACTTTTATTGTTATTATTGCTCGAATATTTGTATTCATTTAAATATTGTATTGGAAGTAGCTAACTAACAAAAGATGGCGCTAGTGGGAAATTAGAAATTTATATTGCACGGAGTGATAATCCGACTCTGGAATTGACAGCTTAACTTTATCAGGAGGTGATTATACAATTATTCTGGCAAGTAAGTTTTATTCATAGAAAATAGCTTCGTAGAAATGCAACTCTCTAAACAAAAACTTCGTACTAAAAATTGAACGCATATGGCGCCATCTGTTGCGGATATTTTGGAATTATTCAGCTAAGAACCGAACCACTAGAATACGGGTTGGATTGGGTTTATATATAAAAGCTCCAACCACAGAATAACTGTTTGGAAAGTGTTTGGAGCCACTATGTGGCTATACATGTATATCTATAAACAAGGACTGCATCATATGACATGTGAGATTGCATCTGACGACCTTCCAACAACTTATAACTTTAGCTGAAACAAAGCTATAATGTCAATTATAATCTAATTATTTAATCATACCATTATTACTTTATTATACTCTTACCGAAAAATCACTTTAAAATGACGTTTTCATCTGTCGATCTGTCATTCTTGAACAAACTTCAACTTTATAATTGTAAAAGGTGAAGTTAGCGGCAAATTTAAAAATATAACACGAATTGGAATCTATACTTTTTAAATTAAAAGAATGATACTGGTAATAATTGTTATTACTGTCTCTCATCATTCCCACTATTAATAATAAAATTGTCAGTTTAATTAAATTATTTCAGTATAGACGCTAATGCCATCTTACGTGATCTTACGGAGGATTTCGACATACAATCAGTCCCAAGTTCTCCTATCAAAGATCCCTGGGGCGGTTTTATTCTGTCAGGTAACGCTAACAGACTTTTTATTTGAAGATGAATATACCGGGCCTTAGTTACAGGTATAACTAACATTAAACTTACATTATCAATGTAAATAAATACATAATTGAGTTACCAACCTAAAATTTCGTTTTATACACCACCAACGTAACAACCATCTCAAATGAGAACGTAAAACAACTTATTACTTATTTATCAATTCAAATACATTCACCAGATAATACTTTACGTTTTATTCTTCCTTTCCTCTTAATTAAGAATTCAAAACCCGTTTCAATTGCGTATTCACCTTAAGTTTCGAATTCTCGACTTTGTACCGAAGATTAAACGTTGCTAATTTCATATCATAAAGAAGAGTACTGTCAAAAAGTGACAGTAGTGTTTTGTATTTTATGTTGTTAAGGTTAAAAAATTAAAAACTTTTAACACATATAGTTTAAAAAAGGAGAATTAGATAGTGAAAGTGGAGAAATAGAAAACAGTGTGAGAATAAAAAACTAACGGTTTCTGTAATGTATTGGTTTCGTTTTTGGGATGAGCGATCGAAAAACAATGATCACTTCGAGGTTAACTTTAAGAAATCGTGAATACAAGCATTTTAAACATATCAAATGGAGAAACTATGTAATAAATCCTCTATTGATTATCATTCCGTAAGAAAAACGTAAAAAACGGACAAAGGGAAAGGATAAGATAATTATTTTAAGTGCCATATAAACAAACTAATTTTTAAACTTTTATTAAAAAGTTTATCAATTCCAATAAAATCAAGACAATTTTATTTTGATATTATTAAGTAGTCATTGTACATTTAAAAGAAATAAGATATGGATGTTGACAATGTGTTATTATTGAAACCACATAAACATTTAAGACGATTTGATGGTCGGAAGTTAATAAGAAGACGAGCAGCTTGTAGTATTTATAAAAAAGGAATCATTCTAGTGTTACTCATTTGTATATTATCAATTTTGTACTATTTTCAATATATATCAAAAGCATCATTTTCTGGGTAAGTTTTTTAAGAACATTTCAAATTTTTGTTTCATGCTTTTATGATTAACAACCTAACTCTTATTGTTTCGTAGGTGTTAAACATTTCTCCATAGTACACCTTTTGTTCATACAGTTATATTTATTATATTCTGTAAGAAACCAAATTTAATTCAATCTATTTTATTGTAAAACAACATGCATAATGAAATTGCCTACATGATGCAGTTACTTTAATTTTAGTACTTTAAATTTTGGTGAATACTCAAAATTGTGTTCTGTTAAAGAATCTGTATATTTTCATCAGAAATTATTGGAAGGAATCTTGTTAGAATAAAAGCTTAAAACTGAAAAAACTTTTATTTGAGAGATATTAAATTATCTGGGGTGCCATTTATTGACAAAATTAAATAAACTAAATTTGTATTGTATAGCTTTAGAAGCTTTTGATAAGAATTAAATGCAAAAAGAAACGCAGATAATAATAATAATAATAATGATCTTTATTTCGCTAAAATACAAAAAAAAAATACATAAAATTCTGTATTGCAAAAACGTCCGGAAATAGTTATTTATGTACCAAGTCGGCAAAGTGATGCTTTATCGAACGAGTCTGAGTTTGCGAGTCGAGCGAGTAAACAGGCGAGTTCGATAAAGACACTTTGCTGACGTGTTGTATACAACATTTTATCGCCAACCGCAAAATTTAACGATATGAAGATATTCTAACTTACCAATATTATGACATGTGTCAAACGATTTGTTTTGTTAATATACCTCGGTAAAGTTACACTATGTATCAAAGGTCGGTAGTATAGTGGAGAGGGAAGTGCGCTTTCATACAGAAGGTACCGGGTTCAAATCCAGCTGTTCAACGGCATTTTTTTCAAATTGACAGCAATTAGCGGCAGGTAAAGTACTTTTTGTAATTCGCGACGGTAATGAAAGCTATTACAGTACTCAAACGGGTGCTGTAATGACACTCTTTACAGCATCCGATACTGTAATGAGATTTTAGTAACATTTTATGGAACCAGTTCAAGTTGGTGACATTGGGTCATTAATTTTTCTAGTTGTCAATGTGACAAT